AGCCTGAATTTTAGCATCCTCCTTCCACCAGGATTTAAATGATAAAAATTGTCCTGGACTTAAAGTGGTTCTGGCCAAAGTTTCCCAATCAATTGGTAGGAAATGGTGCTTGGCACAAAAAGCAGTTAGAATTCCAAGTACATAAGGAGATGTGGGGCCATATTTATGAACTGCCTCCTTCATGGTCTTAAGAAACTTTAATTCAATTTGAATGTGAGACGGTGGGCTTTGACTTCCGTCAGGCCTTATCTCTCTAAGGACCGGAAAAGCGGCAGGTGCCACAGTTGAAGCAGCAGCTGTAGGCAATTCAGTGATAGTTATTGCTGGTTCATTTAAAACCTCTAATTCAGAGATTTCGATAGGAAAATGATATTTGGCCATGAATCTAGAATTAACAAGGGTATTCCAGACTGGATAAATTCCTGGGTTGGCATTATGATGTCAAATTCATCTCTCCATGGCCCATCTGGAGGTGGGGCAGTAGGTGATGGAGGTTTATACGGAGGAGCAGCCGATTTGACTGACCCAGCTTTAGAGCTAGCACAAGTCGACAATAATTCAGCTCCCTTCCTTTCTATATTAGTTATTCTCTGATTTACACTATGAAAATTTTTATTCATTGTCTGTAATCTTCTATTAATTTACATAAAGTTTCAAACTTATCTTCTGTTTCTGAACTGGTATCTTCACTCAAGGGATCAAAACTAATTAAATCATCTTCTGATAATTTTTTTATTGGTTTAGGAGGTACTTCCTTATCCGAAGACTGCTCCTCTTCAGAAGATGAAATCTGTCCTGTTGCATAAGACTGCTCTTTTTCAGAGAACTTCTCTTTCTTAAGAGATGAATGGACACTATCGTATATTCGTTTCCGAGCTTCAGCTGTCTCAGCTGAGCCTTCGGCCTTTCCTGCCACACGTTCTCCTCCATCTGTGTTTATCAACGACAGTGGCTTTGGAGGAAACGCTTCAGCTTCAGAAGCGGAGGTGTCAGAGCAGGGCCGAAAAGGCTGTAACGCTCTAAAAACCAAATCATAAGCTGCCCAAACATCCTTGTGTATAAAATTCCCTGTTTGGCGAGCTCTTCTAAGTGTCCTATGGAGTCTTTTCCAGACTTTAAGTGTCAATTCTACCTTTTTGTCTGACGAGAACCATTGGCATTGATTAATGACCACTCTGAATAGTTCCCGTAGAGTCCGACTGGACAGTTATTTTCATGATACTCAAAAGATTTTTTTTAACAAAGCAACATATTGATCCTCTAGAGTGATAGTTTGATGAGAACTTAAATTATTACCCATTTTAAAGTTTCAAGCTATTTGCCAGAAGTCTTGTGTACTTACTTCACGAAAAACTGTACCATCTGGTTCTGGAGTGCAAAGCTTACCTCAGGCAGCTTCAAGCGAAGAACCAAGTGACGTTCCGGGAAGGGTGGCGGTCCTGACCCGAGGGTCACGAAGTCCTCGTCCAACGTCTCCACCTACCGACTGTGCCAATTGTTGGGTGATGTTTTCTCACGGGGAGAGAAGGACGGCTTGGCCACGGGTGCAAGCTCGCTCCTAGAATTGTATGAAAGCAAGAAACGACGACATACTCTTATATGGCATGTAGCAAAATGTCTTTATTTTCCACTCCCTTTTATTGGGAGCTAGTCACATACATCACATTGATCAATAATCCTAACATCCTCAATTCTTATCTTAAACTATAGAAAGAAAGTCCAGGAAAGTGAGATAACCATCATAAGATTAGCCTAAAAAAAGAAAGTCCCAGAAAGTAAGACAACTATCTTAAGACTAGCCTCAGGCTATTCCTCTCTAGAGACCCAAAACAACTATACATTATCTGACTTCTATTGTTAAAGTTAAAGGTTAGGATAAACATGGGAGTAAAACCTTTCTCTTCTATGTACTTAATTAAATTTCCAAGAAACAGGCTCCATGACTGTTTCCTTATGGTTTTGGAGGCCTCTGCTGTTACGATAGAGTATTTTACTCACATCATTACCATGGAGTTTTTCTTTTCACTCACACCAAACTTTGAGTCATGTCCTCTGCACAGATGGGTTATTTCAACCCTTATCTGGCAGGCTGACTTGACTGCACAGTCGGGGTTCCAGGTAGGAGGTTGTTAAGCCTTGCCTGCAGGCCCCCCATGCTTTCCCAGGTTGCTTAGGCCTCGACAATAACACGTAATACTCACAAGTCTTTTGGCTCAGTTTCTGGAATTAAAAGAGCACATTTCATTTAATTTTTGTGGGAGTTTACCCCACACTCAGATAATTCTACTTTCCACTCAGGAATGTAAAGACTAGGTTCAGTTGTTTTCTAGAACTGAATATTGAATGCCAGACGTGTGGTGGAATCCGATTCTTTCCATTCATTTGTTTCTAACACATTTCCTGCACTCTGGAAGCTTGAAAGTTTCTGTTTTATTTGGGCATTTATCTATGGAGCTCTAAAACTTTAAAAGGATATATGTAAATATGGCTTATTTTTTGCTTTAATAATTGAAGTTTTTATAAAGTGCCCTTGGGAATCCAGGAACACAAATCTTACCCCTAATTATTTTCTTTTCACTGTGGAATCCTATGAGGTGAATATTGATGTTCTGGATCTATTGTGCTAAACTTATGTTTCCTAAAATTTATCTCTTTGATTTAATATACCCTACTCTTGGGCAACCTAGTAACTCCGTCTTTTTAGCCCAATATTTTGATCTTCAGTGGCATCTACTCAGATATTGGACTCTTCCATTTGGTTTCTACTTTAAGCCAGTTTTTCGTATCCAAGAATGCTGATTGTTTCCCCAATCCTGTATTCCTTATACCTGAATCCTTCCTATTATACTTCATAGTTTTATTTTAAAGCATCTTTTTATACCCCTTTTTATACCCCGTTCTTTAGTTTCATATGTTCTTTAGTTTCATATGTTAGAAGAGCCTGAAAATTAGAGATAAGCAAAAATTATAAGTCAAAACATTTGCATCACTAAGAAGTAAATATCCTTTCATTTTTTGTGTGATTTGGATGTCTATCTTTCCATGTTTCTTAAACAAATAGCACCATATTGTTCATCCTGTTTTAAAAATCCTTTCTGAAATCAATAATATCTTGTAGATATCTTTTGTTCTCTCTCTGTTTCTATATCCTTCTCTCTTAAACACACACACAGACACACACACACAGACACATACACTGTGTGCATATATATGCAGTGTAATTACCTTGAAATGTTTGCCACATATTATTCCACTTTGCTCAAACAGTTCAATTGATTGGGCAAATGTTAATACATGTATATAAATTTCAAATTTATTTTTTCAGTTTTATTGGAAATATATGTTAATGTATTTACATTTTGGACTAGAACACACAACACAGATGCATATCACAAGTTTGGAAGAAAGCAAAAGAAGTAAACAGTGTCTTCAAACTTTCCCTTTCTCCTTCATTTTTCTCTTCCTGTTCTCCAGTATTTCCTATTTTCTCTTCCTATTTCCCAAATTATTAAGTAAATGTCAAGAGTCCAAGTAAGACAGGAGGGTCTCAGAGAGGACAGCTGGCCAGCATGGCATGAAAGGGCATGAGTGGAGTGGAGAGGGTCGGTGGGCAGGTGGAGACAGCCCTGACGAGCCCACAGCAGAATAAACGGTAGTGTATTCACACAGCACAGCATTATTCAGCAATAAAAACAAAGCACTGATATACACGATGTGATTAAATCTCAAAAACCATTTTGTTTAACCAAAGAATCCAAACACAAAAGCATTCATACTGTATGATTTTTTTGCTGTTTTTGAAATTTTATTTTTATTTTTGTAAATTTTATCTTGAGGTAAAATATACATATACAATAATAATTTTTCAACTTTACCATTTTTAAGTGTGCCTATAAGTGGTAATAATCACTGTTTTTTGAAGTTTTAGATGAGGCAAGATTAAGCTTTCATGGTTTAATGTTAGAACACTGACTATTCTTCCTGGGATAGATTGGCTGGCAATGAACATGAGAGAAATTTTAAAGAGATGTAAATGTTCCATGTTTTGACCAAGGTGGTGGTGATTCCATTAGTATAAGCATTTGTGAAACTTCTTGGAAATGTGTGTTTTAAAACCAAGCTTTCCATTATCTGTAAATTATATCTATGCAAATTTCATTTCTTTTTCTTTTTTTTTTTTTTTAGACAAAATCTCACTATGTCACCCTTGGTAGAGTACCATGGCATCACAGCTCACAGCAACCTCAAACTCTTGGGCTTAAGTGATTCTCTTGCCTCACCCTCCCAAGTAGCTGGGACTATAGGTGAATTTCATTTCTTAACTAAACACTAGGAATAGAGAACATTTATTTAGGATCTTGATTTCCCCTTGGCTAGACTGTTAATAGCGCAATACTAATATTTATGCAAATGCTAGTTGTGTCCTGATTATCTGCAAACCTTACATAACATGAAGAAATAGAAATTAAACTTGGGAAGAATAAGAAATAGAAAGAAAATCCCTTTTAAGCACACTCTATGTCTGCCACTGTACAATTGTGTTATTGTTTCTGTCATACAATTGGGATCCTGTCCTTGGAGCACAGAGCCTTCTATTATTGAGCTCTGATTTTCCCCTTCACAGCTAGCTCTGCACATGCCCTCACTATGTCTTCACCTGGCTTTTGACTGTCTCTCCTAGACTGAGTCTAAGGAGACTATAGTGTGTGAGGAAAAAGTACTCTTCTGATGGACGTGTTCTCTAAATCAATTAACTTTGTGAGTTGAACACTGAGATGACCCACAGACATATAGGAAGATGATTTCCTCTCCCTGAATAACGTAGTTTTGGCCTTTTGCAGGTGGAATAATTGAGTTATGCTAAGCATTTTCAACAAAAACACACACCAGAATCCCTATCATTCTAAAACTCAGCCCAGGCCAAAGTCTCCTGGAGTGACCTTTAATACTTTCACTTTCAGAGTATCTGAAGAGCTGAAGGCAGGCTGGGATTTTCTCCTTAGACTCAGTCTAGAAGAGACATTCAAAAGCCAGGGTACCTTGGCAGCACTGTTCCTCTTCCCAACATAAGTAATATTTTCCCAACCCCCTGATGGGCTGGAAACTTGCTGGCCCCGGTCCCTGTGGACACACCCTTGGATGTTGACCACAAGAACGGCCAGGTGCAAATTGTCTCTGGAGCCAGCCTTGTAGGAGCACCCAGGAGACCAGGAACTTCCAGGAATCTACCAGCTCAGTCGAGATGGTGAGAGAGAAATGTGTGGCTATGTGCAGGTGTGTCTGTGGGAGGGGACTGAAAAAAGGGGGACTTGAGCTCTGGACCCCACAGTAAGTAAAGGTCCTTTCCTTTTGGGAGTTAAATCACAAGAGCTGTTAGGTCCGAAAATCATTCTCCCAAACAGCCCAAACAGACAATTCCGAGACGTGCTCCGATGTAAAAGGCAAAAGGTGAATTTTATTCAGGCCCCGGGAATCCTGGACTCTCCTGGCATGCAAGCCGAGGACGAGCCCCGAACTCGGGGTAGAGCAAGTTTTTATGGGGTACAGAAAGCAAGAAGGGTAGGGTCCATTATGGGTACACTCTTGATTGGTTGTTGATGATTACATTAGCACGGTTATATTCTTGATTGGTGGTTAAT